AATTTTTGAATGTGAAATGAAAATGAATGGAAATGTCGGCGACTGAGTCGCGACGATCAAATCGCGTGAAGTCTGTCCGAGGCCTTAGGCGAATCTTTGGTGGTCATTTTGTAGAGCTTGCTTCGCTCTATCGAATGGTACCCTAAGTCTGCAAGGAAAACAGAAACATCTTGATTTATTAAGAAACTTTTGGGAACCTAATACTATTTGATGTGTTCGACTGGTGACTGAAATCGCGTCTCTTGACGTAGACTTTTCTATCTTTACAGTCCGGTAACCCGCATGCTCTGCTTTGAAGAAAACAGCTGAAATCCTTTAAGGCTGCGTTAATTTGCTGTATACGATATTAGATAAATTTGCGGAAGACCAAAGTCTCATAAGCGATTCGGAACTCACTCTTTCTCTAACTTGCGAAGTTATTTCTACGATACAGTGCTGGCTGAAGCTATAGATTCACTCTAAAAAAAGCCGTGACTCACTTGATTATCAAAGAATCAATCTAAAATTTGGTACAGCTATGTGTGTAGCAGTCTATTATCAGCATCTCGGAGACGGCCCCGTTTGCGTTCAACTCCCCACAAAATAGAACGAAGAGATTGGAATGAATGCTTGGAAGACTGGCCAAAATTATAGATCCACTAGCTGGCTTACCCGGCTCCGCCGTATGTTCCGAATAGAAAATTCCCTTTCTCAACCGATTCGAACCAAATTTGGCACACATACCCTTCGCGCCCCGCGGGTGTCACAGTCCACTTTTCGTTATCGATCGATGTCGATTTTATCGATTTTTTGCAGAATTTGAGCTACGGGGCTGGGAGTTGGCAGAGGGGTGCAATCGAGCATGCTGATCACCCCCACGGGGGTGATCAGCATGCTCGATTACCCCCCTGTGCCAAATCCCAGCCCCGTAGCTCAAACTTTGCAAAAAAATCGATAAAATCGATAAAAGTAATGCACGATTTTAAAAACTAATATTGTATTCGGAATCCCCATGCTCACTTACCCCCCTGTGCCAAATCCCAGCCCCGTAGCTCAAACTTTGCAAAAAATCGATAAAATCGATAAAAGTAATGCACGATTTTAAAAACTAATATTGTATTCGGAATCCCCATGCTCACTTACCCCCCTGTGCCAACTCCCAGCCCCGTAGCCCAAATTTTGCAAAAAATCGATAAAATCGATATCGATCGATACGAAAAGTAGCTTATGACACCCGCCGGGGCCCGAAGTGTATGTGTGCCAAGTTTGGTCCCGATCGGTTCAGAAATGGAATTTTCTATTCGGAACATACGTACAGACAGACAGACAGACAGACATACAGACAGACAGACAAACAGACATTCAGCTTTATATATAAGATTCAAGATTCTAGTCAGCAAAGTACTTTCTTGACTTCCAAAGTCATTCATGTATAATAGATACAGAATTGAATGTGTAAATTGGCTCTTTCATTTAAGCTGTACTACACCTTAAAAAAAAAGCTTGTCTGCTTTCAGCTTGAAATACTTTCAGACGTATTTTGATCCTTGAAAATGTGTTCGAGTGGGGAATCTTGCAGTTCCTCAGTTGATTCAAAAAGCGATGGGTTCCCATCTACTTTTCATAAGCTTGGCGACGTGAGCACTGAGGAAAAAATTCGACTTTTCGCCTATGATGCAAATCGAAAAGCTTATTGCAAGCCTGAACTAGAATTTCTGCTTTCGCGAGCGCTTCGCGATTTGCATTGAAAGAAATTATGAAAAATTGATTGATTAATTGATTATTTGATTACAGTATCGATGCAGTTTACCTGGCACCCAGCTCGAAGGGCTTCGCTAATTTTATTGAAAGCTTCTCGAAGCTTTCGTTCATATGAGTCGTATTCCTCTCAGCCAAAATACGAGGTTCTTTATGCGCATGTGCGTATCAAATTCAATGTCATATCGTTGCACGTTCGTTCTGATCAAGGCAACTAATTCTTTTGATTTGGGCACAATTTGAACTCGCCATGCGAGACTGTGTTAGAGCCTGTTAGTAACGACCTTGTTCTTGACTGGTGTAAGCGATGAAGATGTCTACATAGATAACTTCCAGGCCGGGGTTCGATTCTTATGTACAAGGTCGTTCCACAACTTTTTTTAAACTTCCATCTTTTCAGCTAATTCACGACAACACGACCCACCGGTGGGTCGTAAGATTTCTGAAGCTCTAGCTTTGCCAGTAAACGATGGAATTCTACGGGGTTCTGGCACATGATTGGGGACACCTTGGCGAAGCTCCGATCAGAGTAGTCCGGGTTCGGGATACCGTAATGTTGCGGTAGGTATATCCTAGACAGGTAAGGCACAGACTTTAGCTCAAATTTTTCGCAGAGTGGTGCTGATTTTAAAAATTGAAGTTTATATGCACGAGAAATACCGGGAGGGCATGAGACTGATGCTAGCCCATCAAAAATCATCGATTTTATCGATTTTGTTGATTTTTCGCATTGTTCATCACAGGAAGCTCAAACCATACATGTATAGGTATTCTAGCATGCTGATTACGAAAATGATAGTCTCAATTTTCCAATATCGCCTTCTTACATCAGTTTCTTTATTTTTACGAAGATTCTGCCGCACTGCTACCGTAGTCTCACTGTGGGAAAGTAGTGCACAAAGTGGATACTATAATCGTGACCAGCACGTGAAATAACCCTAAACCACAATTTCTCATGAAAATCTATGATGTTGGGTTCGTACAGAATGACTATCGTAACCTTACCACATAATGTCAAAAACTGAAATAAATCATATTTTGATAATCAGCGCCTTCGATAACCTTGTATGGGAAATTCTCGGAGACATGTTTTGAATTACTTCCAAAAAGACTAATTTCGGACAATACAACATACGGGTGGGTCGTAAGTTTGACAAAGCGAAAAAGGTTCTGATCCGAAACGGCAGTAATCGGAAAATAGGACTTGTCGTGAATGTGTATAAGGTGCACTCATGTATAACATTGTGAGATATCACTCACAGTAACATATTGTTCAAGCATGTTCCTCAAAATTTACTATGCGGTAGCTAGATGTTTGCAAAGCCTTCTCTCCGATTTGTTGATACCGGCCACAATCGAATTTTATTCCGGAAAACGCGCCACTGAAAATTACAACACAGCTGGAGCTCAATGGAGAAGTCGTATCTTGAAGTGTTGAGTGACTTTATTTCTTATTCATGCTCTGCTTTGGATCATATCGAGAAAGTTTTTTCCACATCTTTTACAGATTATTGATAATGATCAATCAAAGCAGCTGGATTGTGGTGTTCTCAGCCTTTCATATCAAGAATGGGTTAAGTTTTTCGGTAATGGAGATGGGCCGTCTAGAAAACGTAGGCTCGCTGGAATCAAAGATAGGTAAGCTTTTAGAGGAGTGATTAGAAGAAAAGCGATTCAGATTGGAGAGTTGAGAGCGCAAACACGAAAACACAAGGTTTTTTCTAGAAAAAAAACGCTGAAGTTTTTTGATCGCAGGATTTTGACATCTCCTTATCAGGTGTGAAATCTCTTATTGAGTCGTTTAATACCATGATTTTCGTGCCTTTACACTTTGAAGGCTTACACAGCTTAATGCAGGACTATGTTAGAATTGATGAGAACTAATCGTTCATAAGATTAGAATTTCTTTGAAAAGTCTTCACACTTCGTCACATCTCAAGATAACTGTTCCCTTTCAATTCGATCAAAATAAAACAGCGGTAAGGTTTAACACCGACAGTATGCGTTCACGCGCAACCATTGCTTGGAGTCCAAACTCACTTTACTAGGGAAAAGAAATAAAAGAAATCAAGGAAGTACATTAACAACAAAATAGGGATCAGAGCACTTAACACCGAGCAAATAATAAAAATTATGAAAGATCTTGAGATCTATGTTACTTGGTTTTTCAACTTTCAAACATTTGTAGCCTTTTTTTAGATTTTCTGTTCGACAAGGACTTTGTGGTAACTGGCTTTTCATCTAACCAAACTAATGATGAGTAGCCGGGAAGTATTTGCCAACGATTGTTTAGGAAGGCAAGAGAAGATCAAAGCCCTTTTCAACGAAGAATGCAGGTCTAAGTCTTTTCTTTGACATGCCATCTCGTTGTCATCAGATCGTGCAGACCATTTTTTTCTACGTTTTTTTTTGATTTCTAACTAAAAACTAAGTAGCTTAAACATACAGAATATCTTGAAGTTAATACGCAGATAAGCTGTACAGTTGTCAAAAAGGATACCAGGGTGTCAAAAGTATAGAAAATTAACTACAGCGCAGAGTATATAAAGAGCGTATACGTAACCATGCTGTGCACTTCATTTTCAAATCTGACCTTAGTCTTTTCGTTCAACAACATATACCCATATTACAGTACTGAAAAATTATGGTAGTAGTGTCCTCAAAAAAATTTCGCTCACGACTCAAACGAAATCTTTGCCCGTAAACCACTTCCAGCCACTTTTCGCTGACTTTTGGATATTATTCATTCAAAAATCGGAAGTCCCCAGGACGGTAATGGTATGTGTTTCTTTGATTGTGCCACAAGCTGCACTCGAACAAGCTCAGTTAAAAGTCTGCCTTCCCAGAACAAGTTTACAATTTTAATTCTCACGTACATCCAACAAGTAACAACTTAAACTCCTAAAGTGAAAGTATGGTGCCTGTTTATGAAAAACAGCATATAAAGATTTTCGATCTGCATAAAGCAAGCACTTTTTTCAAAATGACTTGAGCCAAAAAAGATTTCGAAATTCTATAGAATTAACGTTATGACTCTCACTCCATCTGCCTATCTCAATTTTTTTTCAGCAGTGCACAGGCTTGGATCTTAGTATCTGTGGTACCGCTCTCTTATAGTGGACACAAAGATCAATATGTGAGAAATGTAGAATAGAGCTACGTAGAAGTTGAACCGAAGTTGCAGGTTTAAAGCAGTCGTTCTACTTTGCCTTGCGGCTTCACTCAATGCTGCTACATTTGACTACAACTTCGCTCGGAACAAAATGTTCCCTCTGGCTGCCGCTGCCTACTCGAATGCCCCATTTGAATGCGCATTGAATGTCTTCGACGAACGGATATCGGTAAAGTCGTTTCTTAGATAATATCTAATTTTTCCAGAAAGGCGATATATCAAACGGCACCTGAGAATTAATGTTTCTTTGTGGGTTCGAATAAGTGATCTATGGCGGTCATTAGTATCAACTAGCTGGCTTACCCGGCTCCGCCCGGCCTTGTCAAAACACTATGAAGAAGTCCCATTCTTATCCTTGCACAACCTTTCCCTGGCCCACTTCTACATGCCAATCCCCTATTCCCGTTGTGTTAGTAATCAGCATGCTCACTTACCCCTTGTGCCAGCTCCCATTCCCGTAGCTCAATATTTGCGAAAAATCAATAAAATTGATAAAAGTAACGATAATTTTGAAGACTAAAGTTGTATTCGTAATCATTATGCTCGATTACCACCCTGTGCCAACCCCAACCAGCCCCGTACCTCAAACTTTGCAAAAAAAATCAATAAAATCAATTGAAGTAACGGGTAATTTTAAAAACTATTATTGTGCTCGTGATCAGCATGCTCGATTACTTCCTTGTGCCAACTCCAGCTCCGCAGACCAAACTTCGAAAAATCGGCAAAATCGATATCGATCGATAACGAATCGATATCGATCGATCGATAACCTACGACACTTGCCCCTCCCCAAAGTGTATGTGTGCCAAGTCGGTCGGGACGGTTCAGAAATAGAACTAATTCGGAACATTCGCTTACACATACATACATACATAAAGATAGACAGACAAACTTGGCTTTATATATAAGATGATGAAGAGCGCTTGCAATATAGGCCAATAAAAGCAAAATATAATATTATAATTCTGCGATTGTCAATAAAAGTTTAAATGTTTGTGGCATCTATGCCATAATTTGATAATGCCATAATTTCATTTGCCATAATTTTTTTTGAAAAGGTGACTAGAAAATGCATGTATTTATCTGTTCAAAATTCATCTGTTCCACACTTTGAAATGGTACGAAAGATGCCATGACAACAAATTCTTTTAGGACTTTTGGATGCATGATGAAGAATGCGACAATCGTGGCAATCACTGCTTTGTATTCGCAGGCGTACTGAGGAAAAGCAAGGCGATAGTTATTAGTTTCAGGTACACTTTGCCTTAAGTTCATAACCTTACGGACAATCTCGAGGGTCCTGACCAGGTATCCAAACAAGGAGACATTTTTCATTACTCACGTAAAACGATACATTGTCATTTTCGGCGAAAATAATTTTTGTGAGCAGATATCAACTCGAGTCTATGACATCTTTCAGAAAGATTGATGCATCGATATAGAAGCATTAGTCCTGTGATCTTGTATGAAGCTTTTCAAATTAGAATCTTGTTTCAAGAGTGCTAGAGCTACAATCTCAGACGACCGCAGGCAAAGGCTGATAGATAATGCAAAACTATTCAAATATTGTAGAAACTGTTTTGAATCAATCTTGCTTTTTCCTAGCTAAGCGACTCTTGCTATGTCATGTCGAAAATGAAGAACTTCGATTTTTGAATGCTCCCTTTGTTCAGATGGAGGGGCTGAACGAGATAGAGTATGTTCTCAATTGTTATTACAGGGGCACAGATAGTTCCAGTCAGCTGTGGCAAGAACTGGTCAACAAGGGATATATGGTACATTATAAACGATTAGGTGCGTCGATCAACCGTGTTGTTTTAGAATGCGTGGCCTTTCGGAAAAGGAATAGTGTCTTCATACTTTTCCTTTGCTTTCATGAGTCTATGGAATGGCCATTTGGATCACCACTTCGAGATCATGCACGAAAAATACCCTGACTATGAAATATGGGTACGTACTGGATGCGCAAGAATTGTGATCGTGTGACCAAGAAAATCTAGGTAACCGGCCATTCACTTGGAGGTGCCATGGCGTCTTTGGCAGCACACTGGATCAAAAACGCGCACCAAATCCCAGGAAACAAGATAAAGTTGGTGACATTCGGACAGCCTAGAACGGGCGATGATGAGTACAGCAAACAGTTTAATGCAGATGTAGGTTATTACATTATCTTATTTACATCAGTTGCTCTTAACTAATGACATAATTAGCATGAGTTCTGCTGAAAACGGTTTTTGATTGCATGAAAATCGAGGCAAAGAAGTGGAGATTTTTTTTGGAGTTTTTTGAAAGTTCTTTGCTTTTCTTTGTTCTCTCTTTTGCTTTCTAAGCTTCTCCTTCCAGATTCTGTGACATTGGACATGTTTGAATGGTAAGATATCATATTGCTCAGCCTAACCATTCCTTTCACAGCTGGACTACGCATTCCGCGTTGTCAACGATAGAGACATGGTGCCACATATTCCATTTGACAGTTTCTACCACCATCATAAGTATGAGGTGAGCAATTTGAGATGAAGTGTTCCATGAGTCTCTCCTCTACAATCTGTGTTTTTCCACGCAACCAAGGAAAAAATTTTTTTCTTAGAGGCATAGTACAACAGGACTTCCACTTAGGCACTAGAGATTGATAGCACATAAGACTCCACGTCAGTAAGAGCATATGACATTGGGAACAAATGAACATGAGGACTCAATACCTGCCATTCGTATTAAATCTGGATTTTCAAACAGATGGTTACTAATTGCAAACCTATTAAGGTATGGTTCCCGGATGGCATGGAGCCTAACTCAAAGTACGCAATTTGTCTGAGTAAGGATTTTTTGCTTACTTTCAAGCACTTTACTTATTGTGGAAAACAAAGACATTTTATCTTACAGATGAAGCTGAATCCGATAAGAAATGCAGCAACTCACTGAAACTTCCCATAAGCGCATGGATAGATCATAGACACTACTTCGGAAAACTTGTCAGCGACTGGGGAAAAAAGGGATGTCCTGTGTGATCATCATCAAATGAATTTCCGCATCTATCTGTGTTTCTACTACACTTCACTGACATGTTGTGTGCAAAGGCATTGCATCGACAATCCCTAAAAATGCAGTGTCCGGGCAAAATTTCAGAAAGGAATTTTTTTGCGCTTAACTAAGCTTATTCTTCCGCTAATTCCAAAAATGCAGCTTGCAGACTACGAAAATGTCGAAAACGGGCTATTCCAAAAGCTCCGATTTTGCATTTGGGCGCCTGCCGCCGAAGTCAAGACGCAGAGTCGTGGCGGGACCCTACGTCTTGACTGTGTGCAACATGCGTGCTCAAGCTTGAACTTATCATTCGGTGGGCGAGGTCCTCCGAGTGTCGCAACTCTCCCAACTTTCGGAGCATTTTTCTCGCTTCCGGTTCAAGAAAATGTGCCCGCGATCGGACTGGATGGTATGTCAGGGCGGCTACTTTTGCGCAACAGTGAAATTCCAAGGCCCCCAACTTAGTCTGGACACTGCCTGTAAACACTATTTGCTCTGCAGAGTTGTCTACGACTGTCTATGAGAAACACGGCTTATAGCTTGGAAAGAGAAAATAAGTGAATGTTATTAGCAATGGCAATGGCAATGTATCAATGACTTTCACCTTCAAATGTTATAATTAAATTAAACTAATTACTGGTTACTGAAACAATATTTTATTTTAGATCGATTGTTGCGCACTTTTTTGCTCAGAATCTGCTAGCTACATCTAAAAGGGGTTACATTTCCTTGTCCCAATCCTACGTTACAGCTCCCTTCCTCAAAAATAAGAAACCGGATTGCAGCTGTACATATCATTTATGCGACTAACTATTAGGTGGGTACGAAAGTTTTGTCGGTTTTTTCAATCCATCGGCAAACACGCTAGAATGAAGATAAACAAACGCTTCAAAATGTATCCAATGCAGAATTTCTTCCTCTTTCCAGCTGCTAACTCATATTGTCTTTCATTGCGAGAGTGACGAGATCTTTGCTGAAAACTACAACCACCCCTTTTTACCATGTCCAAATTTGGCTAATTCTCAAAATTTTTGTATGAGATTTTCGGAGGAGCCATAATAACCAGCAGATAGTGCAAACCTTTTGCCATCTTATGCAATTTTTTCTTTTCTCAGCTGCTTTTTCAGATTTTTGCTAAATAATTTCCTGAAAGTTTTGTGTTTTGGCAAAATAGCATAACCTGTTATTGCACCAAACACTGCAAAACCTATAAAAAACTGAGGTTTTAACACATGATTATTACTACTGCTACCATTTCAAAGTTGAGCGATTTTCGCTTCAAATTATGAGATTTTGAAACATAGGTTACGTCAGTGCGCACTCCCGAAATTGAGAAATACAGCGATTTTCCCCACAAATTTCGCCTGTCTCGGCAAGGAAAGACAAGTGTTAGAAAGAGGAGAAAAATCTGCATGAATGGTAACTGAAGTGTTCAACATTTTATGTTCTACGAGGTTAAAATATCTAAGTGTAAAATTTGGTCACTTCAAAAAATAAATCGGAGAAATTCTGAAGGACAAGCCGCAGGGTTACAAACAATTGCTTCTGTTGGCAAAAGGTTTGCCCTATCTGATGGTTACTAGGGCTCCTCCGAAAATCTCACATAAAAATTTTGAAAATTAGCGAAAGTTGGACATGTTAAAAACGGGTGGTTGTAATTTCCAGCAAAGATCTCGTCACTCTCGCTACGAAACACAGTGGTAGTTCAGCACTGGAAAGAGGAAGAAATTCTGCATTGGATACATTTTGAAGCGTTTGTTTATCTTCATTCTAGCGTGTTTGCCGATGGATTGGAAAAACCGACAAAACTTTCGGACCCACCTAATAGGGAATCGAAACCGCCTCGCGCGCACTGTTTAAAGGCAGCGTACACCCAAAATTTGAATTACCGAATTTCCAAGATCTTTCTACACCGTGTATATACTGGGCCCAGAAGAAGACCAACTGCGTTGGTCCGGTCTCCCAATGTTGCTTCTGAGCGGAGAAAACCCCCATCAATTTTCTTTCATGCCGCCCCTTTTCTTTCGCTCCGCCTCCTCCGGACGAATCCATAACAGCGTAAGCTGCAATTGCAGTTGCAGTTGCTGTTGCAACATCTGTTGCATTTGTTTTGGGTGTACGCTGCCTTTAAGGCCCGTATGCACGTACATCCCCGCGGGGAGGGGAGGGGATCTGAGAGGAGAAACGTCACATTCACTACTCTGTGTACAGTCTGCCCCAATCGGGATCAGGCCGAACCGCCGGCTGAATTTGCGCGCCCGCAACGCTAAGGGTCTGCGCTGCATATGCGCACTGTCGCAGAGAGCGAAGCGATTGAGGAGACAGCAGACTGGCTAGCCGTAGATGTGATGCAATACCTTCGCGACACGGGTTCCCGCCATGCCAATTTTGGCCTGGTTGAGATTGGGGCAAACTGTATCTTTCGTCTTCCTTCTTTATCTGTGATATGAAGGTTCTCATACCCTAATACCTGCGCATAGGATGCCAGGTTATTTGCCTTACAAGATTAGATTTTCACAACTTTGTGTGATCCCTTGGGGATCCCCAGGAAATCACCTCTCATTTTCAAAGTCATTTATCTTCCTACAAATTCAATGAAAATGTTCTAAATTTGTGCTGAGGGTATAATATGGTACTGCTGAACATGTCTATAGTAGAAATAAGGGAAATCTTAGGATATCGAAATTTTCGGTGAACCTCGCGAGCCAGGGATTATGGAAAATTTGATAATCTTCGAATTCCATTTCTTCTGCCAAAAACATGCTCAGCAGTGCCGTAGTATATCCTCTGTGCAACTTTACAGCATTTTCAGGGAGTTTTCAGAAAGATTAATGACTTCGAAAATGAGAGGTGATCCCCTGGGGATCCCTAGGGGACCACACAAAGTTGTGAAAATCTAATCTTGAATGGCAATAATCTGACATCCATTATGCGCAGGTATTAGGGTATGAGAACCTTCATATCACAGATAAAGAAGGAAGACAAAGGATACAGAGCAGCGAAATATGACGCTTCCCCTCTCAGATCCCCTCCCATCCCCGCGGGGATGTACGTGCATACGGGCCTAAACAAGCTCGAACTTGTACTTTAATGTTTGCAAGTAGCAAATAATTCTAGATTAGACAGATTACGATTATAAACTGGTTAACCAGACGACCACGCTTGTTTTGACAGTGTGTGCAAAGCGCTTTCGAGTCTCCTGATCACAGAATAAGTGATACGTTGACTGTTGAACTCTAATCTAAATGCTGTCCTGTCAAGTGTCGCAGGTCAATGCAAGATTGTTTGTGAAAGATTTTATGAATGCGGCATATGTGTAAGTTTTTCGAGTGAACAAACGCAAACTTTACATCGCTTCATTATTCTCAGACAAATGACCGGAACTTCCGCAGAGCGCAAGCGGAAGTTCCGCCGGGTCACCTGCGGAAGCGCCGTAAATGTGCTGCGGAAGTCCCGAAATGAGGTCCTGCGGAAGTTTCGAAGATGCCAACCACAGCAGCAAAAGAGAACACCTAAGTGAGATTTGAACCTTACTCTATTGACTGTGAGACTCGCCTACTATCCTCTGCACTATGGATGACATGTTGGATAATGCACTCTGTTGTTGGCGAGGCAACATCATACAAGACAACACAGTCAAAGTCCTGCGGAAGTTCTGGCAGGCCAAAGTGTTGCTGAAACTCTGGCATTTTTCGGAATTTCTGCAGGATTTTGAAGAAGGTCCTGCGGAAGTTCCGGCTTTCAACAAGTTTGGCATGGAAATCTCGCGGAAGTTCCGATTTTCAACGTTTTCATTTTTGCAATAGTTAACGAAGTCCTGCGGAACTTCTACAAATTTGGCTTGTCCTGCGGAAGTTCCGGTGATTTGTCTGAGTTGGACTCCCAGAAGAGGACTTGGCAAGTTGAGATATTACTCACAATCAGTGACAGTGACTTTTTGCATTTTGTCATGTTCAACATATTACTCTTGTAAACCGAGTGTCAGCTTTCAGGACAAGTAATACCAAAATTTGGTATGATTACTCAACTCACATCTCTAACAAAAGACCAGAACAAATCATAGATCGATGCAATTCTTACATAAGGCACACATACAAAAAATAGTCCAATGAGCGTTCCTCCTACTGTTACCATTTCAGTCGCAGGAAGAGGACTGCAGGTCGAGAAATCTATGCGG